TCTATCCCTACAGTTGTACTGTCTTTAATGATGTTGATGGCGTCTTCGATGTATAGATTAAAAAGTAGCGGTGACAGTGTGCATCCCTGCCTGACTCCCTTCCTAATATTTACTTCTCTACGTTGCATCCCCAGCTCTATAACTGCCTGTTGCTCTTTATACAAACTAAGTATCAGAGAAAGCAAGAAAAAATTAATAAAACAAGAAACAAAATAATCTCTAACTAAATATTTTTTAATTTTTTAATGTTTTTGTTGACTCTTCTCTCGTGCCTTTCACTTCACTTCACCCCTATCAGTGGATTATCTTTCTCATCTCAATTTATATATTTGTAAATGAACGCCTTTATTGTTTCAGGCCTACATCGGTTTGATAACGGGCGTTTTAGCGATGGTTATCATCTTGCTGGCTTGCACCGTGTTCCTTATGGTACGAAGGGGTAGAAAAAAGGTGGCGCTCCTTCACAAACATACCGCGTTGGTTTCGAGCAGCACGAAACCAGGAGTCACGATCAACATGAAGGACCTTAAGATGAACATGTCGACTCCGATCATCAATAACGGCTTATCTCGTTCACGGCTCTCGGTGAAAAGCAGCAAGGTGAACACCCTGGGGACGACGGAATCCAGGAAGAACGGCAAGAAGGGAGGAGCCACCCGCTACGGCCACGTAACGGGGGGTGAAGAATCTGACAGCGAAAATTCTTCCGTCTATCACGAACCTTACAAGCTTTTGCCTAACAATAAGCCCGAGTATGGATGCTTGCTCAAGAAAAACGGAATTACCTCTAGTAAAAGCGGTGAATATACAGGTAAGTCGTTTCTTTGTTTACAACAATTTAAAAACAAAGGAATTTAGCAAAATACGAGGTGGTATAGGAAAATTCTTAAAGTATCTTTTCGTGTAAGTATTATATAAATAAGTTCAATAAATATCTCTAAACATCGAGAAGGGACTCACATGAATTGTTAACCAAATTGTTGACCGCTTTGAAATATTTGAAATCATTGTGGCTCGTAGTGCAACAAAACAAAAAAAAAATACTAATAACAATAGCAAAAACGTTAAAAATACAAAAGAACCAACAGGAGTAATTGTGTTTCGCCCAGATGTTATCTTGTCAAACGGTTGAACAAAACTAGCTTCCCTCGCTTCCACAGGCATTCAGTTTATCACACAACTATAGGCGGAAACAATTCACACTTCTTCCTATTTGTGTCGACCTGTAACTACGGAGTGTAGGCTACTACTCATCGTTAAACATGCAATTGACTTGTCTGTGTACCAGCTGTTGCGAAGGTCACGAATAGGTATAAGTGTTTCGTCACTTAACGCTTGCCATAACGGCGGACAATTAAATAACGCAGCTGTCAAACTGGTAACTATTATCAAACATTAACTGGGATACTTCTTATCTATACTTTTTACACCCCCTCCCCCAAGCTGTGGCACTTTCACGAGAAACACTCTACACTACATTCAGATATCACCTTTCAAATATTCCGGAGATATATATAAATCAACTTCGACGATTACCGACTCGAGGAGGGGTTTTAGTCGGTAGGCGCTGCGGCGAATCCGACACTACCCCCCTTCAGGGGGTGTCTTTTGAAGATTTCTCCTCCTCGAGGCTAAACTAAACAAAAAAAAATTCGGTAAAGCTGTAGGCGCGTTTCGTCGTGACCAGTTCTAGTTTGGCAAGTAAAGTCAAAGGTCCCGGGATCGATTCTCGAGGAGGGTGTCATAGCAGCAACAATTTTTCTTGATTAATTTGAGGAAATTTTTAGAGGGTTTTGATATTAATAAACGTTTAAAAATTATTAGATATTAACTTCTATCAAGTATAAATAACAAATTTCTCCAACACAATTTAAAGCCTTTGAAGATATCACGCTTTGTTCAAAGGGTTTGCGTTACCTGTATGTCTCGTTAATTTCTTAAAAATAACCTTTTTATGGTGGTTCATCGCTTTTAGTTTTTATTGCTACTACAGAATTCTATGTTAATGAATGTCTGACACGCCTTTGACCATGTTATATAAGTTTAACTTCTCCTTTTTCTAGCATGTCCGATTTCTGTGAACTATGAAAGTATTATGAAGCATTTTTAGGGCTATTCAAATAACAAAATGGACCATTCGGCTTTATATACATGCTTCATAAAAAGTTCGCTACACAAAATTTAAAATGAATACAGAATTCCTTCGTTCGGTCGACTCGCTTGACGTAATTTAATTTGATGAATAAAATTGTGAAATGTAGGTTTACTGGCGTTTTTATTTGGGAGTAAAAATATTAAACTTTTTATCCTTATTTTGAAAATCATATAGTACATAGTCTCCGGATCCAGTAGGTAGTGAACTTTCCTCTAATTGCATTCATTTTTAAAACCCGAACGGGCTTTTACAGCCTCGACTTTTTCCATTATACATCACCTGCTTATTCCGTGTCTTATCATTTTAAGTATGCAACACATTGAGTTCAGTTGCTCGTAAAAAAACACTTTGGAAAATTACTTTTCCAAAAGGCTTAAGTTAACATTAACCTGCCTGCAGAGAGAGAGTTACGGACAAAAGTTGTGCAAGCAAAGCACACTAAGGATAATAGAGGACATTTACTGCATAAAATGAAACGACACAACAGATATGCGCAAGGACAATGCTTAGACGCAATGTACACTTATTGTGCTTACTTTGAAACAATTCTTTATTGTGATTGGAACACATAATTTAAAATAGCCATTTGTATGCTACGGTGTTGTAAAAGCTTTTTTCAAAAATGTCTCTGGTAATAAACAGCACGGTAACATTTTTATTTAAATTCATCAACAGATTGACAACTTAAATTATTCTTGCAATTGCGCGTCAANATCATGCAAGATCATCACCTGGCTGTGAAGTGTGAATGCTTCGGAAAAGTCTTGTTCATGACTTGACCATGATTATACTTCTGCCATCACGTGTAATATGAATCGGACTTAAAGCTTCTCATATAATAATCATCATCATCATCATCATAAGGTCGTCAATCCAAAAACTGACTATATAAAAAAAAGAAAAACTTTTGGGTGTTTCATTCCCACCAGCCAGTAATGCTGGTAGGCGGGCAGTCCCTCCGGACTACGCCGGAAGGTAGGGCGGAAGGCTCTCTTCAGCCTCTTTCAGGAATCGTGGGAACGGGTGGGTGGTGGTTCGGGTGAGAAAGACGAGACAGACTAAATGAAGACAAAAGGGAATGAAAGATTATCTGTGGAATATTACTGCCCCAGCATTTTCCTAAGTGATCCAAGGAAACCACAGAAAAACTTGGACCAAGGCAGATGGACCCAGAATCAAACCGACGTCCTCCCGAATGTCAAGCAATGAACTAAACCTCTAGGCCATGCCGCTCGGTGCGGGAATAGGCTGCTACTGCAGGTTATGGTTCCAATGAGCTTTATCCGAGGTGCGATCATTACCAGTTGAAAACCTAACATGTTACAAAATTTCAGTTTATATATAGTACTTGCTTCAATTCTCCGTACCCTTAACGAAATGTTTGTATTGTTACCCTAACTTCTTTCGTCATTCGCTTCCCAGTAACCAATTTCGTTTGGTTTTCACTCCTAATGTGTTTCTAAACATGTTGAATGATAATGGTACTGTTTGAGTTCCCAGATTTATAATAATTTTGGTGCCATGTACATTCCCAGGATTTTAATTATTAACTAAATGCTACAGAATAATCATAGCAGATATTTTCGTAAAAATCAATTTTCTGTGTTTTGTCCGGTTTCTTGCTCAATTTGTGATTAACGAGATTTTTGTTTAAGTTTGAATTATTAACTTAAGCAAACTTAACATGTCCATAAAGAGAAATACAATCGAATTGAGAACCTCTTTTTTGGATTTTGGGATTATGACTAGGGTTGCCACCCGTACTTTTTTGTAAAGTATTGTACTCTATTTCGACTGCGAATTATTCGAAATTCAGAGTATTTTTACATCAATAATATAGCACAGAAAAATGGCAAGATAGCAAGCCATACTTACGGAACAACCTGATTTCCCAAATCTGTTCAAGGTAGTGTCACTTTTGCTGTCCGTTCCGGCAACTTCAGCATTTACAGAAAGAGTATTCTCTGTTATGAACGCAAAGTGGCGGGACGACAGGAATAAAGCTTCATTAAAACTAATTAAAAATGAACTTTTAGTTTACTTAAATCTTTGTTTGCCATGTTTAGAGGCTATTAATGTATTTAAGAGCGACAGCAATTTGTTACTGGCTGCTAGGTGTAACAAAAAATATGTTTTTAAAAACAAAAAAT